CAAAAAACAATCGTCTTAATGTAAGTAATTAACTGCAGAAATGTCTTGCTGATATCTTTAAGTTAAAAAAATTACCCTATTCACCTTTAGTCTCTCGCCTTAACTTAAATATTCTGAAGTTTGAACGTCTATGTCTTATACTGATTAGGCATGAAACTAAAGTTTTGAGGACAATAGTGTGAATATACGTGCATACTTCTCTTGCACATGGTTATAACACAGGAATAAAGCTTTTCACCACTACCTTTCCACAGAGAACAACGTTATCATTTCATTAAAGTGTCCCTGTTTACTTGGGGGAATAACGTAAACATGCACTTGGGAAAGATACATGTGAAAAGGCCTATACTTACTGTGACGATATCCTTGCCACAATGTAGAGTTTGAAAGAGGTACAATCACACAGTAAATACGTACAAAGATAGCCTTTATCAATCATCTACTTCATGACATTCATGGTGTCTTTATACAGATGCACATGTTGATTAAAGACATGATACTCAACATCATATCCATCCATGGTAAATACGAAATCACTCAATAAGCAAACATCTTATTTTAACACTTTCCTTAAGGCTGACAGCTGTATAGGATCATAATGTTTCATTCAAGCATGGCAGCTATCAGGAAACTTTTCTGTCTCGCACATTTAGGCATTTTGCTGTTTTGCTTGAGAGGGATTTTTTTAAATGTAGTACCAGGAAAAAATAATAACTTCAATTCAATTTTATACATGCAACACAAAATATCAAGGAGAACAAATTACTTAAAATAAATATATCTGAGACTACATAGAACATATGTAGTTTCAAGCCTTACCTTTAAATCCTCCTGAACATATGTATAAAATAAATTTGTCCTAAAATGTCAAATGTATTTATAAAGTAAGACGTAGCTCCTAAATCAAAGATAGGATAAACCAAACAAACGATGGCACAATTTAGTTTACCAAATGTCTAACGAGAGGGAGTACAGTTTCACACATAATGAACACGTTATAATCAGTGATGTGAATATAATGCCTTGATCTGTATGCCTTAAGCCAAGTGTCACCAGATCATTTTGTCTTGTGGCAACGATGAAAAAACAACATATGGGCAAACGAAGCACGCTGTGCAAAGCAAGTGTTTCCTCTTTCTTCTTATCATCTCACTCTCAGCAATATTCACACAAGATTCAACAAGAAATTGAGAGCCATTTATCAACATCAATAAAGAAGGCAAACATTGAGAGTAACATGCAAACTTCTGCATGAATAGAAGCAACATTATCCTCAGTCTCAAGCAGTTCACTATTTATTTTTAAGATCCTGTTTCGTCCAATACGTAAGTAGGTGGCAATGGTTTGGAGACCCAACATCATTGGAGGAAGTGATCCCTCACATGCTTCCCAATGAAACTTCCGTCCTGATCAAATCACAAATGTGTAAAAATAAACATCCTGGCCTCCAAACCAAGACTCAAGTGACAAATAATATATCACTGATCTCAGCTTTCACTCAAATGTCCCTTTGAATGACATGACGTCTTCAGTCTGAGAACATACGTAGCTTCATTAAAACAGATTGGCACAGTATGAAAACCATCAAAGCACAGATAAAGGGTTTCGGGCATGCACAGCACTTTTCCATTAAAGCATATCATTGTACATTATGCACATTAACAATTATGCGTTTTGTCAGAACAGTGTGGGTTCTGAATCAGCCCAAAACAACCCTGTGTCTTCTCCAGAAGCTGGCCTGGGTCAAAATGCAGTGATTCATTCTTTACAGTGATTTAAATCAGATTTAATTACCGGATGGGTGGATTTGGCAAATATGGATCATAAAAGAAGTTACTAGGGTTAGGGTTAAGGTAGAAGTTGTCACCTTTTCCTCTGAGAAATAATACTGATTGAAATAATTGACCTGAAAATCGCACACTGAGAAACCACTGGTTCTTTTTACCAAACACAAATAGCTAGTTTCTTTTATAGCCAAGCCTTTTCAGACGTTTGGTTGATTAAGACCTTGATGGATGGACCTAAAGACACGTGTAAGTTCTGTAAGTTCTCTGAAGTCCTTTTTTCACTTGAAAACGTGCTGTTTTACAGGAAATTGATGAAATACTTATGCTCTCAATGGGAGAACAGTTCCTTTACTTAATGTATGTGGCTTGCAAATTAAGTAAACTAAAGGATAATATCTCAAATATTAATTGGGATGCTTTACCCTAACATTCAAAAAAGTACTTTCCAGATTTTCCAAGCCGACATCAACCACACATTGGCACTAACTCAATCTAAAGTCTGGTTACCATGACGATAACAATGGCACTGATTCTCTTACATATATGTCTGAATAAATATGTAACTGATGCAAATAGGTGCACAAGTCAAATTGCGCTACAATACCTTCAACACTCATATCCATGATTCCAGGAACAACAGACTTAACAAGAGTTTGCAACGATTTTCAACAAGACTCCGTTCTTTCTCGGCTCACATCAACTACTCACACGAAAAACACTGATTAGAAATGGGTCTTTCTTGGCCGCAAACACAAGAGTAACCTCATATGATGGTTCGGAAATACTTAAGGTCCACTTGAGATACTGTTTGAAGGCTTATACTTGTCACGCTAAAACCAACATCTGCCATGAACCGATGAGGATGCCCCAACCGTTTGGTTTTCACCTCGACTTTACGCTTAAATCAATTTGTGAAACGGGTCAACCTGAAGACTGTGTTTGATTTTAGTTTTTCTTTTTTTAAGGATCCCTTGGGTTTACACATTACGTAACTGAATAACTGAATTTTAATATAGCAGATATCATTTCCAGGTAATTTACGTTAACGTTCATAAGAGTATTCCCAGATTTTCCTTTTTGGCACAAACCCAATCGAAAGTCTGGTTACCATGACGATAACAATGGCACTGATTCTCTTACATATGTTTCTGAATAAATATGTAATTGTTGCAAATACAAGTACACAAGTCAAATTGCCTACATTACCTACATGACGTTCTTTCTAAGCTCTCATTGACAACGCAACATTAAAACACTGATTAGAAATTGTCTTTCTTGGCAGCAAACACAAGGATACCCTCATATGATGGTTTAGAAATGCTTTCCGTCTACTTTGAAGGCTCACAGAGTGAATCCAAGACCAACATTTACGATAAAACGATGAGCATGCCACCACTTTGACTTCATACTAAAAATCAATCTGTTAAACCATTCGACCCTGGTCAACCTGAGGACTGTGTTTGATTTGATGGTCACCTGTTATGCAAAATCCACTTGTTCATGTCTCTTCTACATCAACATGTGTCCCCTCTTCTTCATGTCTCTTCTACATCAACATGTGTCCCCTCTGTGGAAAGAGACTCTGAAAGTTTCAGGAACAAAGATTCTCTCTCTTTTTGTCCTGATCCCTTTCTATAAAAACCTGTCTGAAAATGAGCTGATCAGATTTTGGCCACTTTATGATGTCATAACGATGTCTTGTCTTGTGTAACCATTAGCCAATCAGCAACCAAGGTACCCCCCACCTTATCACCTGAATCTCCTCCTAGAGCACCATTGAGTTGTTTGTAACCAAATCTCTCTCAGAGGGGCGTGGGGAGGGGCTCCTTATTTTCATGTGAAGTAACAGACAGAGAATCAGCACTTTGGAAACAGAGGGGATTATGGGTAATGCTGCAATGATCTGTTTGGTGTTCCAGCCAATCAGAGACATGTTTGTATATATCTGAGACCTATAATATATTGATGAAAAACAGTGTAGTAGGGGACCTTTAATGGCCTTTAGAGCACAGAGGTCTCAGACTGCAGGATGGACTGGGTTCTGGAGTTTCTGTGAGGTTGCACCATGTGCTCTGAACCGTTCCTGGAGGCGAAGGTGTTGCTGAAGTGATCTCTGTTCAGACGGCAGTTCAAACACATACTCCGCCACTTTCTTTTAAGCTCACCCTGAACCTACAAGGGAGACAACAAAAAACAACATGTTCTAAACTAAATAAAGACTGATCCGATAACAATTCCTTACAGGATATATATATTATACTTTGAATCCAAAGCTACTGTGCACACTTTGTTTGTATGTATAATGCTTTTGTTTCTGTCCCTTTAGTAAATTGGTTTACAAGAGAGTATTCAAATGAATCTGTATATTTTATATGTGTCGAAAATCTTCTGAATATGTATTTTCGACTGAGAATATGTATATTCAGTTTTTACATTTGAATGTTTATTTTTATTTTATACTATTTTGAAGAAGTTTGTAATTCTTGTACATGTTTTGACAAAATGCTGCTGTGACTTGGGATGAATAAAGTATGGCACTTCTCTTCTTGTGTATCCACAAATGTGCTGGAAATTGTCCCTACAGTAGGTTCAAAATCATACACTGTGTTAACTAAGAAGGGTCTTGTAAATTAAATATATAGAAATGGAAAAAGTAGACATGAGAATTAGAGATTTAGGTCATATTACGGTCTCTTACAATAAATATTGGTTCATTTCTTTTATATTTCTGGTACGTTTGGAGTAAAAGCAAGATTTATTTAGCATGGGTTATTTTTTATGTTTTGCGTTTTACAGTATATTATTTTTCTTTCATATGTTTTAATTATATAGTTCCTACTTGATTTGACCTGTTGAGGGAATTCAACGGAATGTTTATTGATTTTTTCAAGTTTATTAACTGGCTTACAAAGTTCACCTTCCATGTTTACAACAAACCAGGTGCTGCAGAATGGAGATACGCAGCCACTTTAAACAAATGTCACTCACCTATTTTCATCCCTTTAATCATACAAGTTTTGATTGAAAAAAAACCTATTACCTCAACCTTTGTCTCCAGAACAACATCGACCAAAATTGAAAATAAACCATGTATTTTAAACAGGCTTGTTATCATCGGAGTGCAGACACCTTCATGGGAATACTTAAGAAAGACCTGTATGATTGTTTTGCTCCTCTTAAATTAAATACTTAAATGTTTTATGGAAATAGATGTTTTTTTGGTGCCACACACAGAATTACTTTATTTTTAAAAGCTTACCTCACTGTTTAGGAAACAGTACAGAATGGCCACCACCAGACCCTGAGGAGAACAACACAGTAATGTTTAAAACTTTAATAAAAAATGATATGTTATGTAGTAATTCAACTTTGAAATCTAAAATGTACAAGATAATGTGTATGCTTGTAGATGTGTGTAGATAAAAACATGTAGTGATGGGATGTACAAATATGTCATACAGCACCTGAAAGGATCCGAGTGCCAGGTCGAAGAATATTTTATAATCCTCTGCGATGGATCCGCCGAGACAAACGAAGACAACGTAGTGGATCCCAAACAGAGGGATCAGCAGCAGGGTGGATTTAGCCAATCTCCTGAGAGAAAATAGTTATTTAAAAACATTATTCAACTGAACCAGATGTTATTTTGTTTCACAGTGTTGTAAGAGATGTTGTTGATTTAAAGGGGCGGTGTCTCTACTTTAAAGAGTCCTCTCCTGCTGATGTTCAGGTGTATATCAGTATGTAGTGTCTCTACTTTAAAGAGTCCTCTCCTGCTGATGTTCAGGTGTATATCAGTATGTAGTGTCTCTACACATGTCTCCATGCGTTAATGTTCAAAAAGCTCTTTATTGTTCTCATACTGCCTGTGATGCAGCACCTCTTTTCACCCTCTGTCTGAAACCAGAGCCCAGTCTGCTCTGATTGGTTAGCTGGCCGGCTCTGTTGTGATTGGTCAACCGCTTAGAGATGTCCCGCCCCTTAGCCTATCACGTACAATGTGTTGGAGTGCTAGCCAATAGGAGCCCAAGTGTTACATACTGATTTTCTGGAAGTAAACAAAGGAGGCGTTTCGGCCTTGCAGCTCATTAGCATGCACTCAAATCTATATACTAAACTACAGGAAAGAGAAACCAGTCAGTTATATTTTTGTTTATCAATGTGACACTGCTTAAGTTTGTATAGTATAATAATTCTCATGTTTCATTTAATTATTAATATCATTTTTTTCTATTATTGTTTTCGAAATAAATCAAATCAAATCAAAAATATCTGCAGGGCTTTTGGAAAGTATAAACTGGCTTAAACAACTACTTCTGTAGCATTGCACCACCCCAACAACTCCAGCGTACATTGAGACGGTGAAATCCTTCCTCTCAGTTTGTCATGTCAGCTCAGGACTGCACTAAACTCCACTGCTCTGACACCATGTCTTCACCTACAGTAACGGGAGATTCTGCAGTGGCTTATCCAGGCTTTTAATCGCCTCTGCCTCTCTGATCTCCGTGACCGCAGGATACGAGAGTACCTGACAGCTCAGCACAGCTCACATTCCCCTGCAGGGTACAATTGTGTGTCTGACTGTGCAAAGACCCTGAATTGTGCAAGAATTTCCCACTACAGAGGCACTTCGCCCACTCGGCATTTCATGAAACGCCGTCTATTTGAATAACCGTTATCTACACTGTTATGTTTCCGGACAGCAGAGGGGATAAAAGTGTTCTGGGTGTCTCAGATTATCTGCTTTTAAAAATACATTTTAGCTGACTTTCCTCCACAGTAGCAGGTGTAGCCTCTTGTGAGATACCTGTATTGTGATTGGTCGTTTCCGCCCACGTCAGGACACCTCAGCTTCTGGACCAAGATCCGAATAATGCTGATGAACAGGATAAAGTTCACCTTGGAGACAGGGAGAAAGGAAATTACATCAGAGCAAATGAAGAGAGTCAGAAAACCCCCACAAGGAGGGATTTTATTGTGCAGAGTTGGACAGTTTTCCACCCACTCACGCCATGAATGAAGAGACTCAAACAGCAAGTCAGTGCTACATCCAGATGAAAAGATGATTGGAGGACTTTTGGTGCATCGTTGGTTCATTTAAAGCATGACAAGTGAAAACAGTTAAGTCAGACTTTAGGTAATCACTGTATATGACTTTTGGGGCATTTTTGGGTGAATTTGTTTCGCCCTTAAGATGCGTTTTGAGCTCTTGGACGATTGTTCAATAATTTCTTAGCAATTAGCCTTATCAAGCATGATTTATTCGCATGCAAAATGAGTGCGCTTGGACATTTGAAAGAGATATGAAGAGACGTGAGATTACTTTGGCAAACACGTTGGTTTTTCTTCCTCTTCAAAAACGTTTTTATTCAAATAATTAAAAAAATGCCAATTACAAAGCATAAAATCTCACCATGCTGTAACTTGTGAAACAAAAGGAATATATATATTTTTTTCATCTGCTTCCTTTCATCAATTATTGGTATGGTAGGACAAATAGCTCTTCAAAGATATAGAAGAAATGTCTCCTTCATGTCTTGTACACAAAACATCAACCATAGGCCTGCTTCTGTTTCTCAAATCGAGGGCTGATTATCAAGAGTTTTCAAAGCAATGCTTTATTTGAAAGCTTGACATTGCGTATCAACAGTAACCCATGGGGAGGGTGTTGGCATCTGTATCCTTTTATTAAAATGGTGCTTTTTAAATTGGCAAGCATGTAAAATACCTGCCGACAAACAGAAGGAAAAACTCAACTCACCATAATGGATAAACCGATTGGTCCGTTAATCACCCAGTTGGGTATGGGGTTGTCATTCCTCTCCCAGCATCTGAGGGCAACATTAATAACCATATTCTCCTTAATATAGTACATAAACAATATATTATAAAGCTCAACAGCAACAGAAAAGTGTGGAAAGTTACAAGCAGAGGGAGGCTTCAAACTTCTGGATGAATTTCCAGCAGACCTCAAAGTTTGAGGTGGAAAATGAGTTTGCAAGTCTGGCCTCGAGCTGACTTTTCTTGTAATCTTTCATGCCTGTAAAGCAGGGGTGTCCAAACTAAGGTCCAGGGGCCAAATGCGGCCCGCGGACCATTTTTAATCGGCAATCAGCAAATTAAAAAAATATAATGCAGTATGGCCCTCAAATGAAACTTGTGCTCGTCTTTTATTTCTTAAATATAGATGAAAACAGATATTTTACAGTAGTATTCATGTGTTAATAAGCCCACTTTTCAAATAAATTCAGTCAGTTGAAGCTGAATTTTTTTTCTAACAAATCTAAGTTGATAAGAAAAAAGCTCAATAACTTATTTTTTATAACAAGCTTTAAATATACAGTTCCTATTTACATCTTATTATAAGCAATCTGATGCTTCTGTTGTAAGGAATGAGCTGCTAACAATATAATTGAAACCCTATGGAGAGCTGTGATGTAGGCTGATTAAGCATAGTTTTAAATTATGCTTAATGTAAGTAATTTAAATGTAAGTAAATTATTAATTTACTTACATTTGATTGCCGACTTATAACTTAACTTATGAGGCAAAATACCTCTAGTGAGTGGCCCAGCCCTTCGTATATTTTCTGTATGTAAAGTATGTCTCATGTCATTTAGGGCAAGTCACAAATCCATTCCTCCATCTTTGGCCACTAATCCAGGGCTGCAGTAGAGGAAGGCTAATAAGCGAGGCGGACCAGACATGATTTTCTTCTGCAAAATCCTCCAGCTCCTCCCATCATACTATACTGGAGTAAGTCATCCCTTCTGACCCTGGTTCTCCTCCCAGTTGGATTTACCAGAGCCTCATTATTGGCGGGCCGGACCACTTTAATTGGCTTCTTTGACACTTTGAGGATGTTATGGATGTCTGAGCATCTCTGAAGATGAGCTCCAGTCAGCCTGCTGAAGGAAACTCATTCCAGGACTTTTTATTCATGATCTCTTTCATACTGATATTAACTAAAGTTCATGATGATAAGGGAGAACTGGGATGTATATCAACTGGTAAATTGTGAATTTGTCTCCTGGCTGAAATTGCTCTTTGCAGTCCGATACAGTGTCCAAATAATGACCAATTTGTAAATGTTTCCCTTTCTGAACAAGGCCCCAATAGATTTGAAATCCTTCACTTTGGGAAACAACTACAGACCCAGTTGTGGAACAGTAAAGACTCAAATACCGAGTTTTATACCCAAAGCAACTTGACAATCAATGCAATCCACCACGCAGTTAAAAACAGCAAGAATCCTGCAAGTTCATATCTTTCAAAGAGCCAAAACAATGGAAAAACTCTTTGACCTAACTAGAATACTAGAGAGACCCAAGTTACAAGTCTTAAATTGCAATTCAATATGACTTGAACTTGTCTAAATGTTGCCTATTGTATTATAATGTAAAATGCTTTTAGGCTAGGGTTAGGGTTACAAGGCTGATATTCCCATCATTGCTGTCTTGTGGTCAAAAAAGTGGAATGCTTTCAGATCTCTCGTCGTCTCATGGTTTTACATTTTCCTTTGTGTGCTTATTGTGATGAAGTTCTTGCAGCAAAGAACTGGAAAAACCCAAGGAGTACAACGGAGAGCTTCAAATTGATGTCAGACACTGGAGATTTATTGGAAGTCATAGCTAGAGAAGTGACAAAGACATTTACTGAGAACTCTGGCACTCTCTTCCAATGTCCCTGACACTTAACCAAGAGCATATTCGACATCAAACTATAAGTCCTGTCCCTGGCAGGGTCAAACCTGATGTCCTGTTATTATCTGAGGAAAAGATAGTTTCATGGACATATCGAAGACACAGCTGGCCTTATCACACCGGTAGCAACATTCTTTTTAAGGACGTTTGCCTTCCTAGAAGAGAGGAGTGTGTCTGTTGTCTGTTTTCATTTCAGACCCTGAAACTCCCGTTGTGTTCAAAAAGTTGAATGCTTTCAGATCTATCGTTGTGTCATGGTTTTAAGTTTGCCTTGTTGTGCTTATTGTGGGGAAGTTCTTGCGGCAAAGAACTGGAAAACAATGGAGTACAATGGAGAGCTTTGAATTGATGCCAGGGTAAAACCTGAAGTCCTGTTATTGTCGGAAGAAAAGATAGTTTCATGGACATATCTAAGACACAGATCAAACCGGTAGAAACAGTTCTCCCAAGGACGCTTGCCTTCCTAGGAGAGAGGAGATTTGTATGTTGTCTGTTTTCATTTCAGACACTGCAATTCCCTTTTGCCCGACCTTCCGATGGTAGATCAACTTTACCTGCTCACCACTCACCGGTTTCCCAATTCCCCCATCAGCTCTCTAGTATAAGTACCAATCCACTTCCATTTGTTTACTGCCAGATTGTCTAGGTGCAATGTGGCTTGTCTTTCCAGTATTTTGTAAAAATAGCCGACCAGCACCCTTGTTTGGACCTTTGCTTGTTTTTCACCTGACTCTGATTTTCTTTGTTTGCCTCTGGATTTTTGTATCCTTGTTCCACTTTTTCTAAGAAAATACTTTTTTGCACCTGCCTTTTTGGAGTCATTCTTTTGTTGGTTATTTTTCTCAAGTTGTGGCACGTCGACTCCAAATCAAGTCTCAAGAAGTAATTTTAGTGACACTAGAGGATCATAACTCAAGGTAATACCTTTTCCAGAAGTTTTAACATGCATTGCACATCCTTTATCAAATGTGTGAAGGCTGCACACCAAGCTGTTCATTTCATTTTGTCAAGCAACTGCTCCTAAGGTGAAGAATAGACCCTCAAGCTCACACTTCATCATTATTCTCCACACACCTTTCTCACATTGTGAGCTGTATCCTTGCTGTCCCTTGCTGCTCTCTAATAGAGTGGTGCAGGGATGACGACCAAAACTCAATGGCATTTTCCATTGGATTTCGGGAATATTGCCGAAAATAAGATCTGTTGCAAACATAAGTTCTGTTACGATAAGACCATTTTATGAATGTTGAAGTGTAAATGGTGTTAAATGCTATCGTAAGGCTAAAAAGGAACTACAGTACGGTCACATGAGTTCACGTCACCACCGCTAAGCTAAAGGTGGCTAATGTTGGGCTATAAAGGAACTACAGTACGGTCACATGAGTTCACGTCACCACCGCTAAGCTAAAGGTGGCTAATGTTGGGCTATAAAGGAACTACAGCACGGTCACATGACTTCACGTCACCACCGCTAAGCTAAAGGCGGCTAATGTTGGGCTATAAAGGAACTACAGCACGGTCACATGACTTCACGTCACCACAGCTAAGCTAAAGGCGGCTAATGTTGGGCTATAAAGGAACTACAGCACGGTCACATGACTTCACGTCATCACAGCTAAGCTAAAGGTGGCTAATGTTGGGCTTAATGATGTTTAGTCGTCTCCTTTAGACACGTATTTTATGTCGTATAACAAAATCCTATAATCTCATTAGCTTGTGTTAACCACAGACTTTATATTACAGGGTATATGCAGGAATCCTGAAGTCAAATTTAATACCTTTTAAGACCTTTTTTAAGACCCTTTCCATATATTTTAAGACCTCATCGCAACTTTGAGTTCTAACCGGTTACATTGGCAACACACTTTACTATATTGATTGTAAGATAGCAAAACTAAACAGAGTGCAGACAGACTACTGAAGCCTCCTTTCCACATGAACTTCAACTTCTCTGTGAAGGTCAGGTTTAATGCAGTATGCTGCTTTTTTGCTTCTGTAGACTCTGTGCTCTTTCATTCCAGTAAAACTCCTCAGAAACCAGTATTTGACAAATAAACAAAACAATTGACAAAACTTTGAACTATGAAATATGTTAAACTTTGGTGAGCTTCAGCGGGGTAATGCCATATAGGAGCTCCCTCACAAATACCCAGGGGTTAAATTGGGCTGGGGCTGTCCGGGACTAAGCCCTGGCACATAGGACGATGCTCTGACGTCATCACCCTCACACAGTGGCGGCTGGTGGAAAATATTTTTGGTGGGGCTGTGGAAATGGTGACAAAACCATACTAGGGCGGTCCAGGGGATCGTCCCCCGGAATGATTTTTTGAGAAATGACCCCACAATTATGAGTTCTGGTGATGTTAGATGGTTTAAATCATTTAAATGGGAATTTAAATGATTTAATTCCCATTTAAAATCATTAAACTAAATACGAACATTGTGTGTGTGTGTGTGTGTGTGTGTGTGTGTG